CATTAGCTGGTTATGTAATGGCTGAACTCCTTTCAACAGCTCTCCATTAACGAGCAAATGTGTTACCAGAAGATCTAGCAGATAGGCTCTTTGATTGGGAAAGGCTTTTAAAATTCAAAAACCTGCAGAGTTAGAAATTCAGATGTTTTAGAGTTTTACAAACTTTTCCAATTCTGAGAGATGAAAAGCGCGACTAACAGGCCGTGGTTTGAGGTCAGGTTCATCAGAAATTCAGCTTATAATTTGGTTTTACCACATATACGAACATCTTGAGACGAGAGTTTCTGAACTGAAACCATTTTCCTGCGGAGTTCGTTCCCAGTCAAAAGTTTGGGGGATTTTTTGTTTTTTTGGGGTTTTTTTTCACATGCAATTTAGATTTCCATGAACTGCCTTTCTCCCAGTTTTTAAGGAAGATGCTATGAATGGAAGAAGAAAACCAAACTTACAACTTTTCTCCTCCGTGTCCCTTTCCCTGTGCTGGGGTGGGTCTTCTGGAGCAGAGTTCAGCGGCACTTCAGAACGAGCTGCTGGCTGGTCCTGAGGCTGCTCCTTCAGGTGGAGAGGTGAGGGCAAAGGCACGATGCCTGAGGAGTAGATTTTCCTCTCCCCGTAGGCTATAAATGAAAGGTTTGGTTGGTTTATCTGAAGCCATATCTCTCTATTGAGAGAATGTTCTCTGGATTGTCTGCTGACAAGTGCCAGATTTTAAATGATCTTTCACGCTGCAGTTAGAGAACATTAAATAGAGGGGGGGGGACGATGAAATAATCCATCAAGAAACAAGATGCTGCTTCTGGTCTAGATGAGAATCTCGTCTGCCAAGAAAGCAGAAGAGTGTTTTTTAAATCAGGCTCAGTCTAGATGCACAGCCTGGAAGAAACGTCACATTTATCATCCTCTGGCTGTTGGCCATGTTGGCAGAGAGGGTTGGGTGGGACGGTCAGGAGCCCCGTCTGGGTTTTTGTAAAGCTTCACTGGTTCCACGGTATTAGTGAGACAGCGGAGGCTCCTGAATTAGAGGATGAGATTGTGTGAGTTGAGTGGAAAGTTGGGTTCGGTCTGGGTGGGTTGACTGAGCCCTGCGGGGTGGCGGGGAGAGACGGTGCTGCTTCGGGCTGCTCTGACAAAAAAGAGTCGCCGCGGATGGCGTAACGGCTTCAGGTCCCTTTAGATGCTCTCAGGAAGGGGAGGACTTTGAGCGTGAAGGTGCTTTCTGAAAGTCATCGTGGAACTCTTGAGTTGCTTTGTTTTAGCAAGGGAGGACTTGTGTGTTACAGCCTGGGGGTGCTTCTTTTCAGTAGCTCGACCTATTGTACCATTTAAATGCAAATTGAATAAATGCCTTGTTGATAACCTCTTAGTAGAAAATTCTGGAGTGTTTTTCAGATTTTTGCTAGAAGAAATTCTCTTGAAGTAAAATCTCTTTTCTAAGAACCCCAAACCTCCTCCACTGAAGCACCTGGCTTTGGTTCAGGTGTGGTGTGTGACTTTGCTTCAGTTGTACCGACTGTTCAAGTTAACAGTTGTCATGAAACATTGGGAGTTTTGAAATCCAGGTAATTATAGACTTAAAAGCACCCTTAGAGGTTTATCTAAGAGTAGTTATTAGGAATCAGTAGTAAATTTAACCCATTCTAAATGAAATTAAAATCTTGACGCTCAGATTTCCTGTGGAAGAACATAGTTTGGTGTCCTGCAGCGCTTTGGAAGTGGTCAAGCACTGACGGCCGTGCATGGGTCTGCTCTGTGAAACTCAACCCACACGCAGCTTTTTGTGAAGCCTGCTCCTCCCGTCTCCCATCACATAGCTGGCCAAAGAGAGAAAAACCATTTGGTGGCTTCAGGTTAAAATCTGAAAGGCATAAAATTGCTTCTGTGCTTTCCTACACGGTACGGAGCAAGGGGAGAGCGAAGCTGGGACAACCTTGCCAAAAGACACCAGCTTTTCCCAGCTTCCTCCCTGCCCTGGTGGGACAGGGACTGCAACGCCTCTGCTACGAACCAGCAGGAATTTCTGGAAAAGCAGCCAGTGCTGGGAATGCCTTCTCGTGACAGATTTCCAAAAATAAGGGTTTAATCATCCTAGGCTGGTGTATATTGTGCTCAACGCATACAGGTCTGGTTAATTCTGGATATTCTGCTTAGCACGTTTGCGTAGCGAGACTGAACTTCACCTCCCAGGGAACACAGATATTTGGGAATAACATCTAATCCCAAATTAATACTTTGTATTACCATTTGGGGGAGAATCATCTCCCAGGTTACCTTTCTTTTTCTGATTTGTTGAATGAAATGCCTAGAGTTATTGCCTTGATCAGAAATACTTTGAGTTTGATAATCCTCAAACTTCGGGGGAGTAATTTCTTGCCTTGTGGTAAACTTGGGGTATTCTGGAAAGGATGAAAAACCTTAAATATCATTTCTGTGAAGTCGCCGTGTTGGTGCTCTGGCCTTCCCCAGCCCGGTCCAAAGGCAGCACTGTCAGATCAGGGGCGTATTTTTTTTCTCTAGATTCGTTAAACCTTTCTCATTGGAAGATGAAGTTCTCAAAAGCTTGGCCCACCTCTCTGGGTGGCTCCGGATCTATCAAAGGTATAAATTTTGTACAATGGAACTGCTCAGCATGCAGCCAGCTTTTTTTTTTTTTTTTTTTTATCCTTAAAGCTGTTGAAATACAGGATAATCAAAACAGGCTTAGTTTGCTATTTTAGTCAAAGCAGGTCAGAACTTGCTAATTGAAATGCTCAGGAAGGTAGAGTTTATTCTGATGGAAATTAAGGTCTTGTACTGCAACAAGCAGTAGATTTCATGAATGGGGTATGGCCCAGGGTCTCCTGCTCTGATACCACAGTAATTAGTGGAAGCGTGGAGATCCGAATGGAACGGCTGTTTATGCCCGCTGAGGATTAGCAAAATGTTGGGGGAAAAAAAAAAAAAGAGCTTTAAAAGACACTGAGAACAAGGTAAGACAGGATATAAACTGGGTGGTGCTTCATGTGATTCCAGTTCTTTCACCATCGGGGTGTTTCATGCATGTGAATAAATATTTTGTAGGTCTTTTACTAAGGCCCTTCTGTAGAGGTTCACAGCAAATACTAAAGAAGTAAATAGAGTAATGGGAGCTTTAGGGTAATACAACACGAAGGGCAGCGGAGCTGGGGCAGGGTCTGGAGCACAGGTCTGCTGGGGAGCGGCTGGGGGAACTGGGGGGGGTCAGTCTGGAGAAGAGGAGGCTGAGGGGAGACCTCCTGGCCCTCGGCAACTCCCTGCCAGGAGGGGGCAGAGAGGGGGGATGAGTCTCTGGAGCCAAGGAGCCAGCGCCAGGCCCCGAGGGAATGGCCTCAAGCTGCCCAGGGCAGGGTCAGGCTGGCTCTGAGGAAGGATTTCTGTGCAGAAGGGGCTGTTGGGCGTTGGAATGGGCTGCCCAGGGCAGGGGGGAGTCCCCGGGATCCCTGGAGGGGTTGAAGAGTCGGGCTGAGCCAGCGCTGAGGGATCTGGGGGAGTTGGGAACGGTCAGGGGGAGGGTCATGGTTGGGCTGGAGGAGCTGCAGGGGCTTTTCCAACCCAGAGGATTCTGGGATTCTGTAACACTCTCCTTGAAATAATAAAAAAACCTGCTGGGGGAGCAATCCAATTGGGGAAAGGCTGCTTCTCCTCTGGGTGAAGGCTTGGCCAGGCTGGCAGTTCATTTTATGAAGGTGCTGGGCTCAAGCTGGCTCTCAGTGCTGTGGTTCTGGCCATGGTGGCAGTTGCCATCCTCTGTTTCATGGGAAAGGTGACGCTTGCTGCTGGTGGGAGCCCAGCTGACCCTAAACACAGGCACTCGATCACATTGGCCAACCAGGAAAAAAATAGAGTATTTAAAAAAAAAAAAAAGCTGAAAAGCCATCCCGCCTTTTAAAAAAAAAAAAAAAAAAAGCTGAAAAGCCATCCCGCCTTTATATCTGATTTTTCCTCCCCGATCTGGTAGGTCAACAGATTGGGGAAAGCCAGGAACTGTTGCATGGGGCCATGAAAGCCCCACGGAAATAATTTCTGTGGCACATGTTTTGCTCCGAGCGCTCCTGCTTGGGCGGGGAGACACCCTGGGTAAATAGGATAAATATTCTCCCTTTTCTGCAAACTTGTGCTAATTTTTGACGCATCTATTTGTTTTACAAGTGCTTAATGAGGAAGGTTTTGCTGCTCTTCTTCGCTGCTAGGTATAGGAAAAAAAAAAGCTGTCGAGGCGCGTGAGCTCTGTCTGTGGCCTCGGGGACGTGGGTCCCTCTCGGGTGGCCGTGGGGACCTCGCCATCTGCTTTTCTTCCTCCTTCCCTCCGGGTAGGATCTGCAGCCTTTGATGAAGGGGTGGGTTTGGTCGTGTGCTCCGCAGAGCAAGGCAGCTGTGGGCTCATCTGGTTATACCAGAGAGGAAATTGTATTTCAGCTCGCTCCTTTTCTTAAAAGCTGCCCTGGGATAATTGCTTACTCTTGTTTTTTGAATTAGTTCTCTTAGGGGGAACATATTTTTTCAGGATAGAAATACATAGATAACATCGTGTAATACTGATTAAGAGTTTAAGCCCTGAGAACGGCCCCTTGCCACGTCAGAGTTTCCTTTTCACTCCTATTTCTGCAATACCCTTTTTCTTCAAACTCCTAGTAAAATACTTTTGAGCAGAGGGATTTAGCCCCGCGTTTCATACCTGCGTTCATTATCCATCATATTGACATCCTCAAAGCAAAAATAATGGGTTTTGTCCCAAACCCTGTCGTTCTAAGCTTCAATTTTATTTATTTAGAAAATTGGAAGTGTTAACTCCTGGCACCTGAACTGAAATTAAAGAGTTTCACTGCTGCTTTGCCTTCGTGTTTTTCAAAATACATAGACAGCTTTCAACAGGCAGCAGCATTTCAATGAACAAAAATAGAAACGAGGCGAAAACAAGCAGAAAGGGGGGGTTTGTTATCGCTAAATCACTTTTTTTTTTTTTTCTCTCCCTCCTCTTTACGTAGGTTCCTAAAAATTAGCACTATGACTGATGGAGACTATGATTATCTGATCAAACTCCTGGCCCTTGGAGACTCTGGGGTTGGAAAAACAACGTTCCTGTACAGATACACCGATAACAAATTTAATCCAAAATTCATCACGACAGTAGGGATAGATTTTCGGGAAAAACGAGTGGTAAGTTGTTGTCTCACACGAGTGATACCACCTTCTTTTTTTCTTTATTCATTTCTGCTGAGAACAAATTTCCTGTAAATGTCTACTGCCTCTCTTACTGTGGGGTATAGCATGTGTTGATGATGCTTTTCCTTGTCAAGTCTTAATTAGGAACTGGATGAAGAGGGAAAATGCCGCTATCCTCATCCTGATGTTGGATTGTGAAGTGGTTTATTGCACGTTGGTAGAAAAGGACCTTCCCAAGAGCGCGTTTCCATAGCGCTAACGAATGAGGTGTGATTGTGACTAGAAATAACTCTGGCCCCCCAACTCATCATTTAAATAGAAGAGATGGAAGCTTACAGAAGCCCGGAAAGTTTCAGCTTCCTTTTAGGTCACTCAGTAAAGTAGTGAAGGCAGGAAAAGCTGCTCCAAGGCTGGAGGCCGAGCACACTGAGGCTGTGATCAGGACTCTTTGTCGCTGCTTAACGCAAGGGCTGTGAGCCTGCCATACTTTTGTTTCTGGACTTTAAAGAGAAGATGAGAGTCTTCTGTAGTGTCTGTCGGGTGCTTTTTGTGGCTCTGAGAGCACGATCACTTTGTTTTAATTTAATGCTGGGGGCTGCCCTTGGGCCACAACAACCCCCAGCAGGGCTACAGGCCCGGGGAGGAGTGGCTGGAGAGCTGCCGGTCAGAGGGACTGGGGGGGTGAGAATGAGCCAGTGTGCCCAGGGGGCCAAGGAGGGCAACGGCATCCTGGCTGGTGTCAGCACTGGCGTGGCCAGCAGGGACAGGGAAGGGATCTCAGCCCTGGGCTCGGCACTGGGGAGGCCGCCCCTCGCTGAGGGGGTTCAGTGTTGGGCCCCTCACCCCAAAAAGGCCATTGAATGACTCGAGCGTGGCCAGAGAAGGGCAACGGAGCTGGGGCAGGGTCTGGAGCACAGGTTTAGTCTGGCTCTGAGGAAGGATTTCTGTGCAGAAGGGGCTGTTGGGCGTTGGAATGGGCTGCCCAGGGCAGGGGGGGAGTCCCCGGGATCCCTGGAGGGGTTGAAGAGTCGGGCTGAGCCAGCGCTGAGGGATCTGGGGGAGTTGGGAACGGTCAGGGGGAGGGTCATGGTTGGACTGGAGGAGCTGCAGGGGCTTTTCCAACCTGGATGATTCTGGGATTCTGTAATGTGACTGATGTATCTGTTCATAGATCATGATAACTGATAAAGGCTAAATATAGGGGACAAGTTCAGCTTTCTAATAGGAATCCTAGCTTTCCTGATCAGTGAAACTATATTAAATACAAGATTTTAGACCCTGGACAACTACTTTAGTCATTTCTTTATTAAAAAGAAATATAAATATTTGCCCAGTTCAAAGATGGAGATTTATTTAAATGTGCTTCTTTTAAACTTAAATGAAATACTTTGAGTGATGCACGAAACGTCCTTGGGGGAGTGTTGTCAGTGCAGAGATGAGTAAGGTGGGAGAAGACCCACTGCTCGTGGAGAGCTTTGCAGCCTGGAGAGAGGAGCACCTGATGAGCTCTTCCTTGTACCCAAGAGCTTGAGTGCTGATAAAACTTTCCACTATTCACCTTCAAAAGAACCAAGTGCTTCGCAGCCCTTCGTCAGGTTCATGTAAGAGCTAAAAGTCATTTACAATATTTATTGTTCAAACAGTTCCCAGTTTGGAAGCAGTGGAATGATAACACAAGTCTTGGCAATGTAAAGCAAGTTGTTTTGTTGTGTTTTATTTCTGCTTTTAAGCTCCTGTTAGTTCTCTAGAATCCGATGAGAAGATGGGCAGCATTCCCCCGTTCATCTTCCCTGGTTCCGTATTTGTGGCTGTTGAGTTCAGTTTTGCCAGGGTGACGGGGATGTGCAGGCCCTGCCTGGGAGATGGGGGGTTCAGGGGTGCCCTGAATAAAACAACCACAGGTCTGGATTATGTCTTAAATCACCTATAATCAGCACTATGCAAGCTCAGGTCAGTGAAGTGGAGGCCAGGTCAGGTTCGGGTTGCAGTGGCACCTGGCTCCTTCTCCACACTGCAGGATAGCAGCGATGTAATAAAAGACTAAAACCACAGTTTTATTGCAGGGAAATGTCTGAACATGCAAATTACTGGAATGCTCTTTCCCTGGCTTGCTTGTTAATGTGTTTTGAACATGGGTGCTGGATTCCTTCCAGAGGGTTGAACTTTGCTGTTAAAGGTTGCACGACAGATTCCTTCTGTTATTTTCCATTCCTGTACATTTTGGGGTGGGCTGGTTTGTAAGAGAAGCTACATCTAACGTGAAATTACCAGCTGGGAAATAACTTGAAGGTAATAAATTGATAATAGTCTAATATAATATAGATAATACAGTCCAATAAATTATCTTCTAAGCAAGAGATCCATAAAGTTAAATAGATGTTTTTCTGTTGTGTAAAAGTCATATTAAAAAATGACCCTGTGAGATTCCTTGTTTATCCTGTCAAATATTTCAGGAACATGCTCCAGAGAACCACTTGAATTCACAAACGTGCCACGGTTGAGCTCTTGATATTTTTATTTTATTTTTTTTCCAGTTTTCAGATCTGGCACCTGCAGTCAGAAACTACCTGTTGAAATGACAACAGTTGAATCAGTATCACAGAATAGTCAAGGCTGGAACGGACCTCCAGAGGTCGTCTAGTCCAGCCCCCAATTGATGTGAAACTTGGTGGTGCAGGCAAATTGAACATTATTTTACAGCCTGGCGAGGGCGGGTGAGGAAGCGTTCCGCTTCCCCGCGTGAGGTCAGTGCAGCCTCTGGAGACAGCCGTGTCCATAAAGTCCATATTCTCTTGATCTGAATGCAAGGGGCAATCTTTGCCAGCTTTAAAAATCACTGCCAGTCTGCTAAACTACCTCAGATAACAAAACCCAGCTCCTACTCACTTTTATCCCTCCACCTTTTACCGCCACAGCTAATTTACACGCTGTTGCTGTTTAATAAAGGATTGAGCCCCAGCGAAAGGGCAGAGTGATTTCTTTCAGCACCATGAGTCTGCAGTTAGTAAGGAAGTCATTAATGGCCAACAGAAGTTAATGAATAAAGAATAGCTTTTTAGAATAGTGGTTAATCCTGTCAGCCAGCTGTAAATTTTCTAAGAACAGCAATGAGACAGAACAGAGCCAGCTTGCTCAGCACAGTGCTCTGCCAAGTATTAAAGAATTGGTGTCTAATTTGAAGCACTAAATACGACCAAATTATCTTTAAAGTGCAGCTTTCATCGACGTTTCATGTGGCTCTTGGGCTTTTAAATATTATTATAAGCAACCCTCTGAAGTGGCTTTTCGAGGTAAGAGTGAGCTTTTGCTAAAGGACTGAACTTTTACTCCTTACTCATTGCTTGCACAAACTCTGGGATGCACGTGCTGGGTTTCAGCTGTACTGATCCGACTCTTTTCATTAGGTGTACAACAGCAGAGGAACAAATGGATCTCCAGGAAAAACCTTCAAAGTCCATCTCCAGCTTTGGGACACAGCCGGCCAGGAAAGGTAACGGAGTTCAGCTCATTGAAAAGCAATTTGGAATTTTTCACGCTTCTGGGTTAAACCGTTAGTTCACTCAGGTGAATAAAAAAAAAAAAATAAAAATCTCAGAAATCCTCGTGGTTTAGGATAAGAAAAATCTTTTCTCAAAATAAAAGTTTTTCTGCCTCTGCTTTCGTATGGTGATCAGAGGATCCCAGCAAATAGGACTGGAAGAGCTGAAGGTTGCCTGCTCCCTGCCTTGGCAGCACGCTGCCGTGTTTCTGGCACCCGTGGGTTGTTGAGTCATTGGTTAGCTTGTTTGTTTTGGTTTTGTACTGGTTTTTGGCTTCGTAATGTTCTTAATCTCCTCCAGAAGATCCTGGATAATCTACCTAGCTGTCCTCTTCTCCCATCTCAACTCCTTGCTGTTGGGTTGGATGGTTCCCTCGGGTCTCACAGCTCAGGTGCACGAGGTCCTGAGCAGCCCTGATGCCTTCCTCAAGTCCTGCCCACTTGACGTGTCCTGGGATCTGTCGCCGGGCGTGCGATAGCTCAATAATCACGCCCTCGGGAGACACATCACTTATTTTATTTTCGGGTTGTTCAAGCCTGGCTGCCTGGTGATTTCCCACAAATCAAACACCCCAGTGGGACTTTTCACGCTGTGTTTACACCCAAAACTTGCAGAGTTAGTAATTTGCCGAGTCCATCCTCTCTAGGATGACCGGTTAGTGATTTGCATACAGTTAGAATGCTGCTGACGCAGTACTACTACGCATGCTCAGGGGAAGGGGCTTCACCTGGGCAAGGCTGTTCTTGACCTGTAGGTGTGATTTTTAGTATTAAATAAGGGCAGTTCGGCGAAGGATCCATGGGCCTTGAGTTTCCTTGCCAAGTTGGCGCTGTGTCCTCTTCAGGGGCTAATGATTCTGGCATGTCCGTGCTCAGAGGTGGCTATCGGCTTGTCGTGCTGCTGAGGGATGCCTTTAGCCTCAACACAGCCAAAGAACATCTCTCTTGACCTAAGCCTGATATTGCTACGTTGTTCTAAAAGTTTAACCTTCAACATTTCCTATGCCCCAGGCTGATTCCAGCCTCTCTCAGCACCAGTGGGGTGGAGAATTCTAGTTCAAGTCTTAACCAGTGCTGAGTAGCAGGGAAGAATCACGTCTCATCTTGACCTTTTTTTTTTTTTTTTTTTTT